CCTTTGTTATGAAAATCTTCTTCTTCTTCTTCTTCTTCTTCTTCTTCTTGTTCTCCTTCTTCGCCTAGCCTTGGCGTTTACAGTGATAGGAAACGTGAAACTCACCGTTGTTAACTCTTACAATTAAGACAAGAGCTAAACGTGGCTTAAAACATACAAACTTGAGGAGAATTTTAAACCAGATAAAAAGATACAGAGCCATTGAAAGTAACCCTTGGGTAGTAAAACTGAAAAAAGGATAAAATAAGCAAAAAACGACTGGCAATGCAAGAGATGTTTCCCTCACAGATTCTGGTGAACCAAGCAAAATGTAAACAAAGTTCCCTAAAAAATATATTTCTTCCTAACAGGTGGGCACAACTGGTTTCCATTCTCCTCCAAGGCCAAGAAGCTTGATGACGGCACCATTCAAGTGTTACGATATGGGGCCTGGGTAACAAGTGGAGGTTTTGCAGACTTCTACGTGGTTGAATGCACAAGCCCATCGTTTGCTGGCGACTTCATGAATCTCAGTCTGTTTCTTATGTTCAAGGTATAAGCAATATCAACTGATACTTAAAACCTTAAGTACATTCGATCCCAAACATTTCCCCGTGTCCTTCTTCTACGGTACGGATGATGACAATTTATTTGCTAATCAAAATATATATTTGATCATCATTTTTCTTGATTCTCAAGACCATTGTATTTGATTAAGCAGTGATCTTATGACAAGACAGTTACTCGACACATAAATTCCTTAGCTGCGTACTTTGAGCCCCTGAGAAACCTCCAAGTGCACAGGAGCCGTTTAGTAAAAGAGCAAATTCTACGTGCTTTTTGAACAGACTAATACGAACATGATGGCTTATTCGCGGAATGTGTCTTTTTTAATAGGACCAGGTTCGTTCCAGCACTGATGAGTGGTCAGCACTTGGAATGCGCGGTAACCATTCCAGCCCTGTTGTATGTGAAGGAGTTCTGTCTGCGGACAGGCTTGTTGGGTCATTTGGTAAGTTAGAGTTCACTTCGCGTCATAAATGTAGTGAAACGTTAGCAAAGTAGAAGAAGAACTTCAGTGGGATCCTTCAAGAGAGAAATTAAAACCATTGCGTTGAGCGCTACACTTTCCTGGGGTTCTACTTATAAAGCTTTGCAAAGTTGTCATGTCTTTTTAAGTGGACAGGAAAGCTAAGACGTGCTCTACCAATGGAGTGGAGATATATATAGCTGGTATAAAAAGAGCTTCGTCCATTTTATCAGGATCCACGATGTTCTATACCATTTTATCATAAGTGCGACAAGACTATTTGTTTTTGTCGAGGCTTCTTTGTAGTGAAATCATACGGAGTGGGGATGGCGCCTGGGAGGGAAGAGGGCGGGAGGGGTAAGGGAGGAGGAGGAAGAACTAGAACGGTGGGGATAGTAGGGAAATTGGGGAAATTACGCAACAATGTTTAATACTCACAATTAAAAAAGGGTGAAAGAGATGAAGCCGAGAAAAAATGCGGCTGAAGGCGAGAGAATTGGACCCCCTGCTTCCATTCACTCGCTCCCACTTTTTTACTTAGGAGCTTCACTACTCACCCATTTTTAAAACAAAACAATGAACGGGAGTTTTAAATTCTTCAACAGGTGAATTTCCCTTGGCTGCTCATGAAGTCATTGACCCATACTTCCTGCTATACTCCTCGGCCTGTTGGAACGGTTTAGCATTGGGTACCATTGATGTCGCTAAAAAACACGTGAGCAGAACAGAACATGCTGATTCAGGCCTGCGCGTGGCCGATTATCCCATTATACAGGTAAGAGATCATGTGCTCTTGACAATGCTTGTCCAATCTGTCCAATCCCTTTTGAGTGATTTTTGATTAGCTCTGCACTTTTATTTGCTGCGAATTTCAAGGAGACCACGACAATTTGTAGAAGCAAACTAAGTTTCTATAGCTCTTCAAGGGTCAGAAGCACTACCCGGATCTAGGTAGTGACGCGTAATCAGTATGAAATTTCTGCGCTCGTTTCTCCGACGTCATTTCGCAGGAAAACAAACCGTGGCGTTGCGAAATGTCGGCTGTTTTCTCAAGCTTTCCGAAAACTGCAAAATAGAAAATAAAGACGAATAGTACTGCTGATAGCTGAACTCAAAAGCTACATATATACGACCATCTTGAACAGCTCGATGAACGATACCAACGGAAAGTATTTCTCTCCCAGTAGTGCACCTGAAATCTCCGCGCCACATTCTCGAACCATCCATCCATCGTAAGAGCAAAACCTATCTACGGCACAACTAGAAGTCCAGGGAAGATCAAAGGTTTTGAAGTTTAATTTTGACTGAATTCACTCCTTTCTTTGTATTTTATTTCAGGATTATTTTGGCAAAGCCATCACTGAAACAAACAGCTCGCGGTTGATGCTTTTTAACGTGGCGAAGGGAATGGATGGGGTTACTAACAACAACGACTGGTCTATTTACAAAGAACCCATGACAGCACCGTGGTAAGTAGTGCATCATTACAACAAGTCAACAAATCACTTTCTCAACTGACACTTAATCATATAATTTCACGACAATTGCAACCAAATTAGGACAAGAAAATCTCCGAGGCAATCTTAGCCAAGCATCTGCCGGGCGACTAATTCTCTTCGATAACTATGAATCGTGAATTTTTGGGTCCCGTAGAAAAGCTCCGAGCGTCTTCGAGTAAGTTTCCAAGAAGATCGAGAGTTGCCAGCTAATTAGTTATTAATCGTTGCAAGTTTTTACAAATCTCTGCAATAGCCCGGCTAAACTTTGTAACGTTTTAACGTTGTTTTCTCCCCCCCCAGCGCGAATTAGCGGATTAGTTTCATTTGCAGTAAGATCGAAATAATAAATGAGAGGGGAGGCGAGGGGGGGAGGGGGGGCTGTTTGACTACTAGTGATTTGAAGTGTGGAAGCTATAAGTCATTATGTTTTGGAGGGGAAATAGGGGGCTTCCGCCGTCCTGTAAATATCCATCGAGATGGTTTGCTGTCGTAGTCAGCCATTAACAAGATATGCGTGTTAAGAAATGTACACTTAAATCTTTTTATGCTCGTTAACTGGAACAAGGAAGGGCGCCTGATCGCAACTGATCGCAGTTTTGTCTACTTTTCTTTACTTGGTCTTTTAACACTTTGCATCTCTCTTGTCTCTCCTTCTTATCTTTTCTTATAGTCGAGGTCAGTTTCATCACTGGTGTTTTCAAGTCAAAATAAAAGCTGCCGCAAATGTATCGTACGTCGCAGATGAGATGTTGCATGCCTGTGGAGGAGTTGGTTATAAGAAAGAACTTGGTAAGTCTGTCAGGCTTAGAAACTCTTTCTCGAATCTTCTTCGCAAATCTTCGAACATGGTCGGAAATCTTCGGAAACTTTGAAAAACGATTGAAGATGTCTAGATTTCCTTCGGACAATGTTCTTTAGCTTATCAAGCTGACGGAGGTTAGATCTTTGGAAAATAGCAAAGCCAATCGTTGTGGTTCAAGATAAAACTGAGTACAAAAAAAATACATAATGGACTGTTGTTCAAGTGTAATTCTGTGCTGTACGGTTAGAAAGATCCGAGGTAGTAGATTCTTTTACGATTTCTTAAGCTCGTGTAGTTTTAACGTGTGAAATGTTCCTTTACAGGTTTGGAGCGCTTGCTACGCGACAGCAAAGCAGGATGGTTAATGGGGGCCAGCAATGAGGTGCTGAGACAGATTGTAGGAAAAACGAGCCTGTTTGGTCTTAATGCGATAGATTTTTGGTAAGAAAATAATCGATCCAGGAAACATGCACTGTCTTTTGCACCTTCCGAAGCCTAAGTCAGCCCATTACAATTCTGTCTTGTTTTAAATACTTGATATCCCACATAATTAAAAAGCTAATTTAAAGCACCTTGTACTGTTGCGCAACTTAGTATCTCCCATTTGGGATTCTATCCGCAGACGCAAATGTTAGAGCCACCTTGTAGAGCATTTTAGGGACTTTAAGATCCGAAGACGGCGACACGAACATCAAAAAAGCAATAGGTTTAGTAACCAAAACAACAATTTTGCACGTGCGTCACGCTTTCTTGTACATTACTTTGCCGTCACTGCACGACTACGACGTGAAAATGCCCAATTTTACGTTGTACAGAGGATGTACACAAGCGACGACGAAATTTCCTCTCTCTATCTGAACTTGGATATGGTTCTTAGGAATTCAACTTTGGTAGGGTTCACCCAAAGTTAGCGACTTGGAGTAATCGGGGTGAAGATTGAGAGAACGCGAATTTACTTTTTCAGCGACGTTTCCTCTGCCGTCGCTGTCCTCGGATCTTAAGAAACCACAGGAGAGTACTGCGCGAAAACGTTTATTTAAATGGTCACAATTTGGGATTTCATCTATAGATTCAAAAGGAGTAAAGCCACCTTGGAAGTGTAATAAACAAAAGCACATGTAGGACTAGTTAGTGGCTTTTAGTTAAATGGTCGCATTTTTAGAATCCCATCAACCACCCAATGAAAAGACTGCTAAGTTTTACCTTAAATTGATTTGTCGGTTCACTGTACTCAGAACTGAGACATTGAACAAAACCACATGTAGGAACAAACTACTTATTTTTAGAGCCTTTCAACAATTTTCTCTTTCAAATCTCCTTTCAGGTGCAAAGTTTCTGATGACCGCGTCCTTAACTTGGAGCTAAAGAAGCTAAGTGGTGACGCAAAGCGAGAACTGGCCAAGAAACTGCTTGCAGAGGCAGAAATTGAAAACGCAAACGTGAAAAACCACATCCATCACTCGTACCAGGACTCGGAGTTTGATAATCCATTCAATACCAGTCCTCCAGCGACCCTTAAATCTCTGGATTCTACTAATGGGTTTAAACTTGAACAGAAAACGTGTCTTAAACCGGATGAGTTCATCGCTTTAAAACTACTTTCCGTACAACCTCTTGCTGAAATGGTTGCAGAGTACACCTTTGCGTTGCCCCAGGCCTCTGACCTTACGGGATGCTTTCCTGGTCAGTACGTTCGAGTGAGACTGGGAAAAAATCAGCGGTTTCTCTCACCAGTGTCACGCGCTAAGGAACCTGGAAAGATTTCACTGTTGCTGAAGCTTGAAACACACGGAATGTTCTCGAACTCAATGCGCTGTCTCGAAGTCGGTAAGAATTTAACCTGAGATCAGGCCCAATTTGAGCGGTTCTCATACATTCTCTCTAACGAAAATAGAGCCTGATCTCAGGTTAGTAAGAATTGTATGATCGAACATATTCACCAGCATAAGGCGTCGCTAATTGTAGTTCTGCCTAATGCTTGCTATACTCCAAAAGCCATACTGCTCAATAGCTTTTTGTTTGAGTTGTCACATCACATTACAGAATTTTTTTGACAAAAATGAATTTCATTTCAGAGCCATCTTGACTTAATAGGGTTTTCCTTCTGAGAATTTTCTCTGTTTTAAAGGTTGGAACTACTTTGTATAGCATCAAACAGCACAATAAAAAAACTGCAAAGAAGAGTTCATTTAAACTAACAGTCTTGGTATTTTCTTTTGGTAAGAACTTACAGTTAGACCAAATGAGTCATCGTGCACATTTTCCAAGAAAAAACACAAATTAACATGACATGCTTTTTACAACCTTTTTTCTTTAACCCTTTAAGCACTAAGGATGATCAGCATGAAATTTCTCCTTATAATATCAATGCTTTAGAGAACGGATTGGTCATGAGAATTGAGTACATGATCAGGGAAGATGAGTCTAATTGACATTTCAACAATTTCTCCCCACCACTTCTATTGAAAAAGTATAGGGACAATAAGTGAGAATCTCAATTTTCATATCAGGGTTTAGAGGGTTAAACCAGTTCATCGAGCATCATTAATCATTTGAGGAACTTTCTCAAGCACGCAAAAGAATAATTAAACTGATAAACAAATAATTCGGCCAAAAAGACTAGGTTAAACGTCGTTAATTTTTGAATTACTGCTCGCTTTTTTCATATCATTTAAAACACTCCCTCTCGAGTTTTTTTGTGGTCACTTCACGGTGTTTGGATGGAATATAATAAACCCTCACTTCTGTTTGTCTTATCAATACATTGTGTTGGGATGTTTGATGAAACAGTCTTTCTCGTGTTGGTTTATCACTCCATGATGTTTGAATAACATGAAACAATCCTTTTCAATCGTGTTTGTTGTATCTCTTCCTGGTCGTCGAATATCAGATATAACTCTCAGTTTTAAGCTGATATATCGCCTCCGGTGTGCGAGATATTATGTTTACATACTTTCACTTCTTTGTTTTCATCACTACATGGTATTTGAATATCAGACGAAACATTCGTTATCGTGTTCATATATAACCTCACGGTGTTTGGATATCATTTTAATAAATTTTCTCTCGTGTTTGTTTTATCACTACGTACTTATCGGTGTAAGATATCTTATGTTTGATTTATTACAGAAAGTTCTAACGATATTATTTCCTCATTTACCAGATGATACTGCAGACTTCTCCGGCCCTTGCGGTGGATACGAATACGTACCCAACTCAACCAAAAACCTGACCTTGTTGGCAACCGGTATGTCATGCCAGCCTGCAGTCCAAATAGTGCGCGAAATAGTGGCTGATCCGACTGATAAAACCTCAGTAGTTCTCCTGATCTACGCTGAAAAACCAGACGGTATTCCCTACCAACAAGAATTAAAGCAGTATGCCAAGTACGACAAGCGATTAAAATTGTCGTTTACCGTCAGCGAGGTTGACCGCGATGACTGGGAGGGAGGGCAGGGCTATATTGATTCCAAGCTGCTATCCACTTCCCTCCCTCCATCAGAAGAATCTAGTCATCGGGTGATAGTATGTGGAGGTCCTCGAATGGTCATGGGTGTGCTCCAGGGGATGAGAAAGCTGGGTTACTCAAGTGACCAGATCTTTGTGTACGGACAGTTCGGTGTCCAGCAGATTAAAGCCGTATATGGAAAGTTTTCAAAGTTAGCGCAGCACAGGGAGACCAACGACAGAGCAAATCATCAACAGGCATGAACGATCTCTTTGAGAAAACATCAGAGAAAATTCTACTGAAATACCACAGCAAGGAGCATCAAAATGGAGCATTTCTCAGTAATAGCTCTGCATGGGAACGTTAAAGAAACTCCAGTGGATTATGAAATAATTGCATATTCAACAACTCATTAATAATTCATAAAACAAAAGAAATTAATGTTTAATGAGTGTGTTTATATCTGATAAAGACACGGCTTAACTTTACGTCCAATTTTTCAGACCAAATAACCCCAAATCTAAATAGTAGTGCAAGAATGAGTTGATCTATATCGGAAAAAGAAAAAATGGCAGTCGTGTATTATCAGGTTTAAAAACCTCGAGGCGAGAGACGTCTTTTAAACCTGACAATACAATCCTCAGTCTCGGTCCAGCTCGTTTTTTAAACAGTACATCCACGATTCTTCTAATTTGTAAATTAATATTTAATATGCTTTTTATGTTTTCAGTCAAAAACTCTATTTTGCCATAAAAGCTTTTTGTTTGTTGCATATATAACTGAATAAAGATCATTGTATATTTGTCTAAATGGTTTCACGTAAAGTTTTTTTTATCTTTTTCTGTTAGAGGGCGACAGCAGAGCCTGCAAACATACATTGGTGTGCTTGAGAATAGCCAACGGCGCGTAATGGCGATTTTCTGTCAGGCCCTTACCTTCTGAGCTAACCTTATCCTTGGCCAATTTGGAAATTATACAAAATGCTGGCATAATTTTTGCTCTTTTGTGAAAGTGTCACTGCTAGTATAATCGGCATATTTTTAATATCTTTGACGGGAGCATTTATATATTAAAGTCCTGAATTGGCCAAGTTCCGTCGAAGGTTCCATCTATTCAGTTATATTTTCCTTTCTTTTTGTAGAGGAGGGTTAAGCGAGTTGTCGGTCTTCTAGTGGACAGGGCACATCAGAGCTCACTGAAAGTCAAACTCGTTCCCAGGGCTATTTCTCTAAGAAAATGGAAAAAGCCCTGGGAACGAGGTTGACCGGAAGTAATGATATCGTCTGTGCAAGTTCCCACTTTCACAGGCAACAAAGTGGCAACGAGCAAGATAAGACGAGTAGAATAACCAGCCCCAAAAGAAAACCGTCTCGTAGGCTGTGATAGATTTTGATATGAAGTAAGGCTGGGTCAGGTATAAAAAGTCGGTATTGCTACTCACATTTATTAATTAATTCACTTTTCTAAGTTACAATTTAGTCTTAAACACACTTTCAGTTACGGATCTTTAAAAAGCTAATCACTAATACAATATGGGGAAAAAGGGTAGTAACGGTAGAATCAATCGCGAGCTTACGAAACGGAGACGGTTAAGTCAGAAACGAGAAAGAAAAAAAACAGTTGATTTCATAAGCAAGAGAACTTAACTCTACAAGTGCAACACACTTTTTGCTAGATCTCTTTGCTGTCTTCTGCATAATTACAGCCTAACGTTTCAGTCTAAAGTGAAGGAATGAAGGAAGTTCTAACACAGGGCCATGAATTTTCTTTTCTCTCTTCACGATTGAACACTTATGTTCAGGTTTTCACGCAGTTGCAAAATTTGAGACTTCAGGTGTGCGTGCGAAAAATCCCAAAGCCAGTTGCGGATTTTGCAAAATTTGCGAAAATTGCGCAAAACCGACGATTTTATGTTAATCTTTGTATACATGACTCTATTATATACATTTTCAAACTGTCTCCAAAAGTATTATTTCAGCGTGTAACAAAACTGAGCTAGCAAACAAACGGTCTTAAGATCTAGACTAAGGTTACTTTTTTTGCTTAGTCAAAGCGTTCTCAACATCAATGTTGGCTACATGTACCGGATAGTCGCGCCTAGCCTAGGATATGAGCTTATAGTTAGGTATAAAATGGGTAACTTCCCTTGAACATATAATATTCCTTATATTTAATTAAATGCGGTTAACGTCGGTCTTCATGCTGGCATTCTTCTTAAGTTTGAGCCGTGATTCCTGTCTCTTCTCCTGCAGTGCTAGGAACAATGGAATATAAAGATTACCAAAATATTGAACATCTAAGACGAAGTTTGTAGGCGACATGCATTTGGAAAGAAATGGTTAGGAAAGATAACTTGCTGGCCTCTTGCACGAAAGACACCTTCTCCCTCCCACAAACTCTAAACTGAATAAATGAAAACGAGCGAGCCAAGCATTGGATTTTTGTGAGGATTTAATCACCCTGCAGGCTTTCTCATCCTCCGTTTTTATCGTCCTTCTTTTCAACAAGTGTTCTGAACAAGATTTTAATTACAGTGGTATGCCAATTTTTGGTACCCCCTTGGTAAAAGCAAATTGGTTCGAACAGGCCATTTCTGTGTAACCCCATGCCTCTGTTACAAAGCGAGCCAAAGCCATTATGAAAATGATTTTTTTAATTGTTATGCAAATAAAATAATTTTCACATCGGCTCGGCGGTTTGAAAGTATGGTTTTTTTGGAAGTCGGAAAAGGCCTACATGACCTAGATGAATGCATCGGCAGGTTTTACTGGTGAAGGGAAGTTATGTTTGGTTCGAATTATCAGCAATTTTCAAAAAAAGAATGGTTCGAGAAATCGGTGTTCTACTGTATACTTTTGAATGATCAAGGTATTTTGCAATATCAAGTAATTCAGCAGCTTCCATTTAAATGGTTTCACCCAAGAATTCCCATCCACTATCCTTACTCCAATGGTTTTTTTGACTGAAATTCATTGACTAAAAATTTCTTGTTTTATAATTAAGCAAGGCTAAAGGCTGGTTTTCACTAGCGACGGATTTGGAGTCGTAATCAGAGGCATAGAAGATTAAGATCTAGTGAAAACAGCGTTCTGATTCTGCTTACGACTCCGTCGTCGTTTTTGATCAAGCGAAAACTAGGTTTTCGAAGTCGCCAGCAGAAGCCGAGGAACTAAACCAATCACAAAACGTGGGAACGTGCATTGTGATTGGTTTATATTTCCGCTTCTGCTTCCGACTCCGACAATCTGGATTTCAATAGATGGTAAGCGACGGAGTCACAAGCCTGCTACACAGCCGTTTTTAGTGTCGTCACGCCACTTGTGTTATTAGTGTTGTCACGTTGCGTGACGACACTAAAAACGGCTGTGTAGCAGACTACGGAGTCACAAGCGCAGTCGGAAGAACATGGAAACGTTCTGATTCTTCCGACACTGATTCCGTCGCTCTTATGACGCTGCGCGACTCCGATTTTTGATTTTCACTGAGTCGTAAGCACCCTTACGACTCCGTCGCAAGAGAAAACCAGCCGTAAACGTGAAGATACTAACCTTACTTATAACAGAAACCACAGGTGTAAGGGCACTCGTCTGTAACAAAGCTTACGAATCTTTGAAAACTTGAAAACGACTGCAAATCGTGACATAGGTCCTCCCTTACAATGCATCTCATGGGGCTCACGTCAAAACAGTATGCTATAAAATGACAACATTGATATATTTATCATTAGTAAAATCCAACTAGTGGTCTATTATCAATGCTGCGTTCTGATTGGTTTAGCTACTACTAGGATATATGTTATAGCCCCCTAGTAGTGAAAAGCGCGGACTTTTTGGCGGCAAAAAAGGATTAAAGTCTAGCTTTTAACTAGCTAAATTTTTTTTATTCTCGATTTTTTTGATCAACTAGTTGGACTTTACTAAAACAATTATTCCTCTCGCCCCCATGGCCCGTGAGTCAATAGCCCATTCGGGCTTCGGCCTCATGGGCTATTGACTCAGAGCCCATTCGGGCTCAAGGAATAATTGTTAATTATTACCTTTATAATAAGTCAATTGCTTACTTTTTGCCTCGGCCTTTTCATTTTCGCCTTTAGGCTTGATTAACAACCGCTATTCAGGAAATGAGCATGCGTTCGAATCGAGCCTAATCGGCTTCCGATTGGCTAAAAACAGGGTTCCGATTTCTTGCCACCTCCAATCTGTCCGGTCTGTCAGTAAACCGATTTGTTCAATCCGAAAGAGTTGAAACTTCCTTGAGGTCAAAAGCTTTTACAACGGCTGTATGGAACAGCCTGTGGTATAATTCCGGCAAAACATTTACCCGAATTACAGTGACTTCAAGATATAAATACATAACAGTAAAACATTATCCTTCTTAACTTGATAGTATTTTTAAAAGGGGCTCATTTCACTCAGCTTTCACTTCGAAGGCACTTAAAACAATCATTTCCTCTGACCCAGAGGGATAATACGGGAAAATTAACTTGAAGAAATCCATCGATCTGGGCAAACTTTAGAGGTCTCGGTATACTTAACCTGCGCAGAAATTCCCTCGGGAAGATTATATAAAATGAAGACGATTATTGGAGCAACCGCGTCCCCAGGCGTCACGGATCCTCTTCGCTGACCAAAAGGATCGCGGCCTCTGGGAACGAGATTAGGGACCTTTAATCCTACGACAGCGATGGTAACGAAAACGTCCAAAAAAGGGATTCATTTGGTTTAATTTAGGCCCTGTCCACACGTATCCGTATTCGTTTGAAAACGCAACTTTTCTTCCTCCGTTTTCAAAAAAATTCGCGTTCACTCGTACCGTTTTCGCCAGTCCACACGTTTACGATGAATCGATTTGAAAACGATAACTTACCCGACTGCGCATGCTTGACGCAGACGTGTTAAAAGACAAGAAAGGGAAGTGCCCGTCCGCCATTTTGAACAAGTTTCTAATATTGCGCGGAGTGGATTGGACCTTATGGCGTGACCTCAGCGTTTTCGAAAAGTCCCGTTTTTGTCTGTCCACACTTACACGCGAAAACAGTTGATTGATCATTGATCGTTTTCATCGGATACGTGTGGAAGAAAGCCGTATCCGTAAAGAAAAAGTTACATTTTCAAATGAAAACAGATTCGTGTAGATAAGGCCTTAGTAAGCAAAACAACAAATTTGCACGTGCACCACGTTTTTTTGTACGTGATTTATTTTTTTTTAAATTTTTTAACGAAGACTAGTGAGCACCACAAAGGAAGACGTCTTGTAGTTGTAA